GCCCAAGGGCAATGTTTCCAAATAACCCAAAATTTAAAATGATCGGGGAAAAATTTTTAAAATTTTTCCAATTTAACAAAAAAGTTCAAAAAAATTTCCAATTTCAAAATAGGGTCCAGAAATAACCAATGTAGGCATTCCTGGCCTAAAAATAACTTTTCCTTGTTCATTATTATGTTTTGAGGCTTTACAAATAAAATTTCCCTTTTTTATTTTTTATTCACATAATGAATTTTTTTTTTCCAAAAAAAAACCAAAAAAAAAGAAGTTTACTTTTTATGGGAATACGTAATAATTTTTTAAAAAATATCACCATATTTTGGGAATTTATATTAGACCCACCAGCTGACGTGTATTAACGTGTGAGGGGCGTTTGTTTACCCCCTTTAAAAAATCGGGAAAAAAATTTTTTAAAAAAATTTCCCCCCTACTTTGAGCTCAAATTTCAAGCCATTTTTCCCGTGCTAAAAACCAAAACAAAAAATCCTTCCCCTATTTTTTGTAATATGTTTTTCCCCATTCTAAACAAATTGAGACCAAAAAAATTTGCAAATTTCAAAATATAAAAAAAAAAACGAAAAAAAAAAAAAACTGCCCAAAATTTCTGTTTTAAAAACGAAAAAAAAAACTGATTTTTCAAATTTTTTTTTTCCCCATTACCCCAGGTGCTGAGGATCTGTTTTAAAGTGGTTTCACACATTACCCAAAACCCTAAAATGTATTCTCTCATAAACTAGGCCCAAATGTAAACCCCTCACCAAATTTTATCAAGTGAGCTGAGGCTCATGGCGTAAATTTTAAAGGGTTTTTTGGGCACTCAAACCCTAAAGGGGCCCTAATCTACGGGGAAAGGAAACCCCGGGAAAGGGGTTTTGATTTAGGAGACCAAGGAAAAAAAAATACAACAATGTGTAATTGGGCTTCAGCCCCCGGGGCCCTGATAACGTTCCACAGAGTAAAAAAGTAGGCACAAATGTGCCTGGGTCCCAAAGGGATTTGCTGACAAACAGGCAACAGTTTGCAGTAAAAGGGGAAAAAAAACGTTTGGGGCCTGTTAAAATGGGTGTTTCCCCAGAGGTCGTTTTTGGAAACCTTTTGTTTTCACAATTTTACAGAACAAGACCCGATAAGGGGGAAAAAATGGAAAAAGAAAAAACCAATAAATTTTGAAAAAAAAGTTTTAAATGCCAAATATCCCGGGTATTTAAAAGAAAAAAAATTTTTTTCCACAAATGACTTTTTTAAAGGGCCCTTTGTGGTGAAACTTAGAATAAAAATTTAAAACAGCACAAAACCTTTTAATTGGGCAAGATTTTGGGGATTATAAAAACAAGTTTTGGGTGCCAAATAAAAATAGGATTCAAAAAAATTTTCTATGAGGGAAATAAAAGTCCCCAAAAAAAGGGCCCAGAACCCTATGTTGTGGCTGGAGATGGGGCTGATGCAGTTCAAAAGCATACAAAAACACAAGGTTTAAACCTTTTAAAAAAGAAAAAAAATAACCCGGTGCTTAGAAAACTAAATAATGTAGATCTTATTTGTGGAACAAATTTTAAAATCCTGGTTAGCCCGGAAGGGTTTTAAAACCCAAAAAAACAGTGCAAAATTGGGTTTAAATTAAAAAACTAATGGAAACTCTTGGCTTTTAGTCCCCGTATTTTCCCAAAAACCTAAGCAGTGTTCCTCCCTTTCTTAAAGGTTTTTACAGGGGCTTCCAAAGTTATAAAAAATCTTTGGTTTGGCCCCCATCTTGCTTTTTGCTGTCAGTTCTGGGTTTTTCCCTTTTCCCAAGGGTTTGGGAAAAAAAATTTAGGAAAAAAACACAAAAAAAAAAAAGAAAAGACAGCTGTCTTTATGTATCAAAAAAAACCCTTTTCCAAAAAAGATACCTGAAAAGGGACTGAATTTGCATCTGGAAAAAAATAAATTTGGGGATATGGGTTGGGAAATGTACAAATGGAAAAAAGGAAAAAGGGCCCGCTATATTTAAGGGAAAATGAAAAATAAATTTGGGACAAAATGCTTTGCATAAACAGTGCCCTTCCCCTTTGGAAAAATTTCAATTTTTATCAAACTGTATTTGCACGAATCTTTTTCAAAAAAAGCCGTTTTTCCCCATGGGCACTGAAATAGGCCCTTTTGATTAAAATTTTAAAGAGGATGCCCAAAGCCCCCCAGGAAGATCTTTGGGTGATTTTTTTTGCAGTATCAGTGAAAGGCCCGAGGGAGTTCAAAATAGACAAAGTAAGAATTTTTCGCCTGGGAAAAGATAATAAAACCCTGGGCTTAAACTGCATAAAGTAGATCCCCTTCCCCCCCCCCACTCGAAAAAGTAAAAAAGGGGTTTTAAAAAAGTTCTGGGTTTGCAAAACAAAAATGATAAATGCTCCCCAATTAAAAAAAAGAATTTTTTTTTCCATCAAAATGTATAAAAAAATAGAAGTGTTTGGGAAAAAAAAGGCTTGTAAAACTTAAAAAGGTGCAACGGTTGGGTATTTATTATTTTCACGAAGTCCCCCAGGTTTAAATTCCCAAATTTAATTTTATGCTTGGTAAGGCCCCCCTTGTATTAATTTGGGGTTTCAAAAGAATGGGGGCATAAATGCATTGGAAAACTGAAGGGAAAGCAAAAATTGAAACCTTTTATAAAAAAATTTCCCTACCCCCAAAGAACCCCCCAAAGGAAAAAAAGTCACTGACTTCTTTTTGGGTTTATCCTAGGGGAGGTTTCACTATGTATTTGGGAACAGTACTTTTTGTTACTTAAAGCCTCAAAAAAAACTTATTAAAGATAGAGTGAGGGCAATCTAGAAAGGGGTAAAAATTTGGGGGAAAATATAACTGAGGTGTATCAAAAAGAAAACAAAAGGATAAAGGGGTTATAAATAACATGATGAAAAAAATTTTAACCAAGACAGGGGCTCACAACAAGGGTTTAAAAATTTGGAAAAAAAAATTTTAAATTTTAAAAAGATTTTGGGAAAGGGATTGGGTTTTGTAACAGTTATGGATGAGTGGCCAAAACTCCCAAGTAGTGTTTGAAACTAAAAACCCTTTAGAGCTTTAAAAAAAAGTTTAAAAGTACATATTGGCCCCTTCCCCAGTCAACTGGTAGTGCAATTTGTTCACAAAACTTGGGGGTTCCCGGGTTTGATCCCCAGTCCCGGTGGAAAAAATTAGGTCCCTGTTTTTTTAAACAAACTGTGTTCTTTTTCACCCAGCATTTAAATAGGTTTCCCGTGGGTAAATTAAATCCGGGCGGAATGGAAACACCCTTTCCTTTGGGGGCAAAACCCGATTAAATTTTTCCTTAAATGTTTTGTGCAACAAAAGGCCCTTTTTTTTTATGTAAACAGATGAGCTAGGGCCCCCGTATAAACCTTTTTCATGTACTTAAAGAAAATAAAAAAAAAAGGAACCAAATGCAGAGGCCCCACTGGCCCATGCGAGGCGAAAACCCCCAATCCCCCTTAACCCGGGTTTAAGCCAATTCCCAAACCCAGTCAGGTAGGGGGTCACTTTTACTTAAGGAAAAGGAAAAAACCCAAAGGGCCCAGTAGCACAAAATAGTCGGTCCAACTCCCCCACCCAAACCCCCTAACCCCCTCTGTATTTATTCTAACCCCCTTTTTTAAAACTACACAAAAATTTTTTGCCTCAAAAATTACTCGGGAGTTTTTTCCCAAATCAAACCATCAACTCTCTTTTCCAAACCAGTGCTTTTCCCATATCCTTCCTGAATCTGAATTTTTCCAAAATTTTAAAAACCCTTTCTGCGAGTTTCCCGTCTTTTTGGGTGGAAAATTTTTAAAACCGGGTTAATTTTACATCCCCCCTTTTTTTATTTTTCCCGTTTTTTTTTTCCCTTTATACACCCTCAATCCCTTTATCCCCCCTAATTTTAAAAACCTTTCTAAGAGTACAGATTCATTGGGAAGATTTCTGATTAAAAAACGGGATCAAATTTGCATCCCTCCCTTTGGGATGTTTTCCCCGGGGGCCCCGTACTTGTTTTTAAAAAAATTTTTATTTTTTTAAATTTTTATTATTATTACGAGGGGGGTTGGGGGGGGGTTGGGCGGGTGTGAGTTGGAAAATGCCCAGCATGGGTCCCGTTTGGCCCCTTTTTAAAAAGCTACTCTTATAGTTCTTGTTTTAACAAATTTAAAAACTAACTACCGTTAAATTCTTTTACATGGTTTAAAAAAATAAAGTTTTTTTTAATTGACCCATGATAGGCCTCTTAAATAATGGATACAACTGGAGAAATTTAAGGGTTTAGAAAAAGGATAAAGGGAAACTTTAAGGCAATATAGGGTTTGATGATTATTAAAAAATCAAGGGGGAAGCACCAAAACCCCTAGGATTATACAGTGCTTGTGGGGGGGGATGTGGAAAAATATTCAGGCTTATTTAGGAAATGGGGGCAGAGATCCAATTCCCCCCGATCAAAAAGCCCGTCCCCCCAAAACATCAAGGGGAAAATTCCTTCAAAGGGGGGGATATAAGGGTGAGTGGGGAAAGCAAAAGGAAAATGTCACGAGTAAAGAACAGTTTTTAAAAAATTTTGTTGGGTGAGTAAAAATGAGGGGGAAGGTTTAAGCTGTTTAGTATGGACCATAGGCCTTTCGCAGTGTTTTGTAAAAATTTATTCAGGTTTCTGGTAAACCCCTAAAATAAATTTAATTAAAAATTATCATAAAACAGCAGCATGTATAAAGATTATTACAAGGATAACCCAAAAAAAGTCACAGGAAAATTTTTACCCCTGGCCTTCCCCAGTTTTTATTTCCCAGGGCTGGCTTATGGTTTTTTCTTTTACTAAACAAAAAATTTTGTTTATTATTTAAAACTATTTAAAATTTGGGGAATTTATGAATAAAAAAAAATCCCCCTATATTTAATATCAGCCGTAATTATAGGCAAATAGTATATTGTATGTTCAGTATGAAGTAGATGCAGGGAGAGTACATAGACAGCACTAGTAAGTACATACTTACACCTGTGTAGTAACTTATTATCATCCAGACACACACCAAACGTCTCAAAATCCTCAGCAATTTGTTGAGTTGTGGACATATTGTAGAGTAGTGTCCCCCTGTGGTGCTCTCTACCACCTCTCCTCTTCTCCACCAGCCAGACCAAGCCACATTAATGAAGGTTTAGTGTGTGTGGAAGGAGAGTGAGAGTAGTGAGAGAGACAGCAGCAGCAACAAGTGGTCACACACACAATGTGAGACACATTATGGCCGCCTCTCACTTACCTCACTCTTCTCTGGTTCTTTCTTACCTCAACCATCACACTTTTCTAACACTACCTTTGGGTAATTATCTCTACTCTTACCCTCACAACACTTTGTACTGATGTTTTTTTTTTTTTATTTTTGTGTGTGAGGTGTGAGAGAGATTTATGGAGGTAGTTACCTGAAGGAGTGTTGAGAGGAAAAAGGGCATATAATAATGATTGCCATGGTTTGTGTTGTTATTAAACAAGTTTATAGATGTATATAAGTACAAATATCATACCTAGTAACATATATGTGTAAATTATCCAGGATAACTAGACACGGTCAGACAAATTGACTTAAACCCCTAATGAAAATAGGTCATTTTGACCTTTTTTTTTTTTTGTTATCTTAGGTAATTTACATATATATTATTATATATAATAATTGCACTTATGTGTATGTGTACCTAAATAAACTTACATAGTGACCTGGGTCTTTGTGTTGTTATTTAGACCACAGCTTTATCATTCAAAACTTATTTCTTGTGCAAATTATTATAAAGTATAAAGGATGGGACACCTTTATGTGTTTCTCAAAATTTATTTTTTTCTTTCCTCCAATTTTAGTTAACATTTCTGGCCCAACATGTGAAGTGATCATTAATGGAGAGACAAGACTGACAACTACCACATTAACATTGTTCTGTCAGGACTGTCAGACAGTACTGTCAGCTAGCTGAAAGTCCCATCTTTGAGGCTGACTCATTTTTTTAATTGAAACTAATTGCACTGACTTAATAAAGCCATATAGCATGTATTAATAGGATATTGAGTCCTTTTATATTCATTGTAATTTAAGTAATTTATATTTACAATCACCTAAGAGATTGTATGTATAAAACCACTCGGTTGTCATGGCATTATTAATCTTAAATTAGTCTTAAGTTTGCTGGAAATGTTCTGTATATTAATTAAGAGACTTTCTGAATACATACTTAAATATTATTTACCTTTATACAAATATTGTATCATGATGAAATAAAGTGTATTTTATCTATATCTAAGTTATCCTGGGTAATTTACATTATGATAATTGTACTTGTTTATTATTATTATTATAATCAAGGGGATTATTATTATTATAATCAAGGGGGAAGCGCTAAACCATGAGGATTATACAGCTCCTGGGGGGGGGGGGGATGTGGAAGGCATTCAGGCTTAATTCGGGGAACTGGAGCACAGATCCAATTCCCTAAATCAAGAGCCCCTCACCAACATCAAGGAACCTTCCTTGAGGGGCTAATCAAGGGGAAGCGCTAAACCCGTAGGATTATACAGCGCGTGAGGGGGGGATGTGGAAGGTTTAATTCTGGGAACTGGAGAACAGATCCAGTTCCCTAGATCAAGAGCCCGTCACCAGCATCAAGGAACCTTCCTTGATGGGGACTTTATGTGTAGCTGTACCTCAATAAACTTATTTACACCAGCTCAAGGACCCGTCGAAATAAGTCACTGAACTTTTGGGGGAGTTATCCTAGGTAATTTACACTATGATAATTGTACTTGTGTGTACATGTACTACTAAATTAACTTACAAACTCCAAAATGGTTACAACTAACCATAATTTGTAAAGGGGGTAGAGAGGTAAGCCAGCTGAAGGCTTCGGTCAGATGATCAAAACCTCCAACGGCGCCCGTCAGGAAGCACTTGTCTTGTTCCATGACAAACTTGACCTGACCTGACCTGACCTGGCTCCACCTCCACTAACTTCCTCATCCCTAACTCTCACATTTCCACCCTCCACACACTTCTTCCCTCGCATAATCCTGCCTTCTGAGCTATATAACCCATACGGGTTTGGAGCATAAACATTATTTGTTGGTAACTTATTAGATTCCTAGGAGAGCACTAAACCCTGAAAGGGTTATTGTGTCTTGTTCCAGTTACAGTATTGTGCCTTTTTTTTCCTTTATAAAGAACGTTTCAATAGTGGTTGTCCCGTAGTTCGATTGGTAGCGCACTCAGCTCACACACTGAGGTCCAGGGGTCGATCCCCGGTACGGCGGGAAACATTAGGACGTGTTTCCCTATGATACCTACTGTCCATGTTCATCTATCAGTAAAATAGGTACCCAAGTATTACTCAACCGGTGTGGGTCGCATCCTGGGGCAAAATTGGCCTAATATGCGGGAAATGCTCTGCATAAGAAGGGACTTTCTATATACTGTAGTATGTAAATGATGTCAGCTAGAACTGTATACCTCGTACTTGTAAAAATAAAGATTATTATTAAGGTAACTTCCTCGAAGAGTAAAATGCAGAACATTCACATCAGGGAGTGTTTTACGAAAAAAGTAATGAACCCTCCAAAATATCTTTATTTCTACCAGTACATGTACAAGGTATACAGACCATAGCTGACATCAATGACATACTACTATATTGAAAGTCGCTTGTTATGCTGAGCATTTCCTGTAAATTAGGTCAGTTTTGGCCCAGGATGCAACCCAAGCCAGTCCACTAACACCCAGGTACCTATTTTATAGTGATGAATGAACATGGCCAGGGAATATAGAGTATCCAGGCTTGATTCAAGAAGAAAGGATAGCTCCAGTTTCTTGGATCAAGCAAACCTCAAGCAAGCCCTTGAAGGGCTTGCACCCAATATTATTATTATAATAAAAAAGAAGCACTAAGCCACAAGGGCTATACAGCTTGCACCCAATAACGATACAGGAAAGTGCTGTTTTTGTAATACATGTACATACTACATTCATGGGGAAGCACCAGACTCACTGGGATCATAGATGATACAGCAATTGGGGATTTTTTTATCTACATTATTATACTGTAATCATGGGGAAACACTAAACTTGTAAGGTTCACTTCATACAGAACCTGGGGAATGGGAAATAATCACGTTTAATCAGATGAAGGGGCAGGTAGCTCTTATTTGTTAGATCAAGAGCGCCTTACCAGCTTCAATGCATATGCCTTGAAGAGTAGTAACATAAGATGAAACCTGTAGGGGTCAATTATCATTATCAATTTCAGGGTAATACAGCACCTGACACAACGGGAAGCAACTGAGTTTGTGACAGGGATAATGAGCCCTTCACCAAGGCTTAGCCTGAATTGTCATCACATTCATGGGGGAGCACTAAGCCTGTAGGAATGGAGACATTCAGATTTGATCAAAGGGAAGGGCAAGTCTAATTCCCTGGACCAAGAACCCCTCCTCTACTTCAAGGAACCTCCCTTGAAGGGCCAATCATATAGTGCCTTGAGAATGAGAGGTACAGTAATTAGATTTGATCCAAGGAAATTTTTATTATGAGGAAGCCCTGAACCCATAGGAGTCATACAACACCTGGGGAATGGAAAGCAACCAGGTTCAATCCAAGGAAGAGGACAGATCCAATTCCTTGGATTGAACCCTTCACCAGCATAATGTAATCTCCCTCAGAAGGGATCCAGGAAAAAAGGGGGTAGCTCCAATTCATTGGATCAAAAGTCCTTCATCAGCATCAAGGTACTGTACCTCCTTTGAAGAGATTTAAACAAAACAGTATTACTGTCAGCAAACAGCTGCAACAAAGAAGACTTAACTAGGGTTCCTTAGTGTGCTCAATATTATTATTACGTAAGGTAATCTACAACCACATTTTGCAGTTCCACTTCATTACATTTGACTGTATAGCCCTTGTGGCTTAGTGCTTCTTTTTGATAATAATAATAATTCATTACATTTGAGAAAGAGAGTCTATCTAGTAGTGACCTACCAAATAAGATTGCTAAGAAAACTTTTTTTTTTTACCACAATGGCCCTCTCCTTCCCAAGGTAGGGTAACCTCCCCAAAAAAGTTAACACATTCACCACCATTCAATCAATAGTTGTTGTGATAGAACTGCACAGACAACACAGTTCACATGAGTCTTTGAACCACATTAGCGCTGTATAGTCCTTGTGGCTTAGCGCTTCTTTTTGATTATAATAATAATTTGAACCACATCCCCCACCCTTCCTTCAGAGTGGACATTGTACTTTCCACTTTCAGGATTCAAGTACAGCCAACTCATCTTAATTCCTCCATAAATGTTACTTTGCTCATACTCCAACAGTATGTTAAGCCATAAAACCCACTTGATTTACTGTTGTAGTGTAAGCAAGGTAATATTTATAAAGGGATTCAGGAAAACTAGTTAGCTGAACTAGGAGTCCTGAAGGTGTCTAAAGGATGGATGGGAATATTGTAGTTCAGAGGGCCACTTGAATTATGGTGCCTGTATTCACAAGAAAAATATTAACAAAACAGCATAAAACTGCTATAGTTGGGAGAGCTTGGCTGGTCATATAGTAGTCTAATATGTTTACAGCCTCACTAAGCTGAAAAAAAGTATTATAACTGTACATAAAATTCATGGGAGGGAGTGGTAACTCATAGGCTTTGTACAGTAGCAGGGAAATGGAAGCAATCAGATTCAATCCAAGGAAAAGTAGAGTAGTTCAAATTCTTTGGATCAAAAGCTTATCAGTATCAAGGCATCTCCCTTAAATGATATTTTCACAAACAAGCACTTAATGATACAAAGCTTCATCCATGTTTGTTACTTATATAATTATTACAGTACGTATATGTATTCATAAGTGATACCCCCATAAAGATCTATCAGCATTACTAGTCTATGGTTGTAGTCCAAACATATGTGAAGACATCTAAGTCCAGCAAGGGGATTTCTTAAGTTATAATGAGGTGGACGAGAATGATCGTGAATGTTCTCTTAATAAATGAGGGGGAATCATAAAACAAAATGAACAAACATTTTGCAGAGTATTTTAGAGATGACTAAACATGTTGTGTTTTGTGAGAGATACCAGTCAAAATCAGGGACACACAATGAAAGAAGATTTTTTTTTTTAACACATCAGCCGATTCCCACCAAGGCAGGGTGGCCCAAAAAAGAAAAACTTTCATCATTCACTCCATCACTGTCTTGCCAGAGGGGTGCTTTACACTAGATATAAAACTTCCCAACTCCAGGACTCAAGT